AGTCATATCTTAGCATAGCAAAAGTAGATAATAAAAAAATTGAATTTTATAACATGTTTGTAGAAAATTTTACATTTCCATATTGTATATATATTATTCATTTTTCTTTCATGTATGAAATAGAATATAATTCGTTTAATTTGACTCTATTATTCTCGATGCTTTAATGTATTTCTTTATACCATGATATACTCTTTAATATCGTCAACTGTTTTTCAAGATTACTTTTACTTTTAAATATCAATGTTTTGTATCGAACCTAATAGAATATCGATGTTCATCTCTTTGTATCGATAGAATGAAAGAAAGAAAGGATGATAGCTAGACGCTGTTTCTGTCAGTGACATTAAATCGAAACGTTCTATTCGTTTCTTTTCTTCTCTATTATGTTTTGTTTATATTGCATGGAAAGACTGAAGTATATATATTATATCATTTGAATTTCTTCAAGAGAAAGGATGATGTCAATGACAATTTATCTGTTAAAAATGTAATTGAAATTGTTGACAGTTGACATTTTTGAAAGAAATATTTCAAAATTGAAAATAAAAATTTCAGTTAGATTTATAAACAATTTATGTAGCTGCTTCGTTTTAAAATATGAAAGATCAAATAATTTGAATAGTAATTTAATGAAATTAAACTAGCATGTAAAAACTATTAAAATAAGAGTTTAAGGAAAATAGAAATATCCAGGATCTGTAGATCTTTAAGCGTTTTGAAGATACTAGCAAGTTGTGTCAAGGATTTATTGTGGTCAACCAGAGACAATATTTCTGTCTTTACTCTCAGTTTTATACTATTAAGCTGTAGTTGATTCTATCAACAGTATTGATAAAATTAAGCAGAAATTAAATTAATCATTTGATTTGTAAGCTATGACAATTTCATTTTTGTCTATCGATTTATTTTACTTCTAGAAACTAAAGATTATTCAAGACAGAATTTATTGAACTAATGAAAAAAAAGTTGTTTAATAAATAACAATAATTTACGCTGTATGTACACAATAAAAATAAACAAATAAATAATAATTTATGTAATAAACTGTAACAATAAGAAAAAACAAATAATTTTTAAATAGAACGAAATTTTCCATTATATTTATCAAGAGCATATTCAAAAAGTTTTCGAGATTCTGAAAGAGGTAAAGGTTTCCATGTTTTGTGAACATTTTCACTTGAATAGTCCTCATATAAATATTTTAATTTATGATCTTCATTCTTTTGTTGATCAGAGGATGAATGATGATCTCTATTTCTTGGAAAATGTGATGAAGATTGTTTTTGAGGAATGAATTCATTTTCACGAAAAAAGTTATTTCGTTCGCTTCTTGGAAATCGACGTCGTCGTCGTCGTCGTTGACGTGGTTGTGATTTAGGCTTATATATACTTGTCAATTTTATATCTACAGATTTTATGATTACTTTGCGAGGATATGTTGAGGATGATGGTTTCAAAGTATTGTAAGATCGAATAGCAAGTGCTTCTGACTTCATTGCAGGTATTTCCATTGAATCTTCATCAATAAGATCCGCTCCTGATGATGATTCACTGGAACATATTGATGATCGTAGTCGTTTTTTATGAACTTTATCGACATCCTTTGAGTCAATACTTGGAAATTTAGAATCGTGGTCATGATCAAGTGGAACTAAAAAGATATGATCATAATCATCATTAAAAATGAATTATAAAAATATAAAACTAACCAAAAGAATTACCGTCCATTGATTCATCTGAATAAATCATTAAAGAGCGTAGTTTACTATTATAGTTTGATTCATGAAAGTTTCGTTGATTGTGATATGTACCTTTTGACCGTAAGTATGCATCGTACGAATTCATCTAAAACTTATCGAATAATTGACTTAGCGAAAATAGACAAGAAACTGTAATATGTAACGGAAAAAAATCACAGATTTATTGTGAAAATGAAAATTGAATTCATGGACTGAATTTCTTCTTTGTAGAAACAGACGTATATTGGGAATTGTTCGTTACTATTATGTATTCTTCGAATAGTACGTCTATATATAAATATATAGTTTGGCCTATTAATAGATGACGCTAATTCAAGTTTTAAGAAAATGAAAAGAGAAACAATATATACATAAACTACAAATATACGGTTACACGTCTCATGGTTGAACTCGAATAATAATCATACTATAACTCTTTTGAGAAAACAATACTAAATTTAATAGCTAAATTATAATTAAAATTCTGATGACTTTACGGAAAACAAAAATGTTCAAAGACGCTTATTTGTTTTTATGAACATATTTATTGCTTCTTTTAGATAACATGTAATACACAATAAGTCGTCTTTTTATTAATTATATTTTATATGCACTGAATCCGAGAAAGAACTACACCATACTCAAGAGTTTAAAATAATATAACTGAAGCAAAAGCAATAGATTGATCAAAAATCTTCAACTTGTACATAGATGAAAGAGTTTTTTGTTTTGACTTACTGCATCATTTGTATTTTTTGTAGCATCAGATACCTTTGAAAATCAAACAATCAGCATAACAAATATCGATAGCATAGAATTACTTTATTGCATGTTCAGTAAATTTTTAAAATGTGATAATTCTACCAGTCATGTCTATTATAAATAGATAAAATAAACAAGGATTCCTTGGAAACTGGCGTCAGTTGGCAAGATTATAGTGTTAAGATTTTTACACGATCATTGAAATTTCAAGCTTTTCTTCGTGTTTTTCCGATGATGTTATTTTCCATTTATGAGCTCTCTTTGAACAAAATCTAGGCCTCTACTGTGTGAAATATTTATTTCGTGTGATATAAAATCGAATGATAAACATATACTACATATTTACACAACAAGATCGGAGCAAATCATCGTTGATCACATATTTAAAAAGTGTAGATCAATTATAAAATACAACGAAATTCTAATTTGCGCAATGCCAGTCTACGAACAGAAATTTAATTATGATTTCGGTAAATGTTTTACATTTGAATAAATATGTCTTGTTTTTATATTTTTGAAGTATGTTAAAAATAAAAAATTTATGCTGTGAAGAAAAGAAAAATGAATGACTCAGTGGCGTCAAAATTTGATTGGATAAATTTGGAGGACATGAAAGTATGTTTTTTTAAATGGCGTTCCAATTTTCATCATCCAAAGATATTTAATTTCAATTGTTCCATCAATTTGTTTTCTTCATTTCGGATTATATTCAAGTGTTCGCTTCATTCGTGAGTATTCAGATTTATTTTTTATTTTTTAATCCTTACTAAAATTCCGTACCGAAGAGAAAATAAAAAAATAAAAAAAATTTTTTTTTCCATTGAAATTACAACAAAACAAAGAAAGACTTGTCCTTGTTTAGAAGTTCATCCATGTGCAATATCAAACTTACATACAAACAGACGTTTCATTTTCCATGGATTCGATTTTTTTATATTGAAAATATCATAGTTTATTATTCTAGGAGTGGTTCTACACAATCAATTCCTATTTTGTATTCTTTAAAGCAGGATAAAATAATTGAGCTTCCATTCTTTGCTTTTTTTTTGTCTATAGGTATCTTTCTCTTTATATTACTTGATTATATCAAGGTAAAAATTATGTCAAATAATTAATTTTATTCATTTGTTTTTTTTTTTAATTTCATTTTTAGATAGGAAATGGCTGATGATACGGAAATTGAACGTATGCTTGAAGAAAAAATGCATGAAGATGAACAAATCAATAAACATCAAAACGGAGAAAAAAAGGAAAAGGAAAAAGACAAAGACAAAGATAAAGATAAAGACAAAGACAAGGATAAAGATAAAGATAGAGACAAAGACAAAGACAAAAAACACAAGAAACATAAACATCACAAACATCATAAATCTCATAAAAGTGATAAAAAACATGAGAGAAAACGAAGTCGATCAGCGAGACGTAGCCGTTCACCAATAAATGAACGCCGTCATCGTTCACCAACACCACCAACTTTACCAAGTGGAAAGCGACGTGATGTTAATTCTGAATTACATCAATTAGCACAAACTTTAAGTCGTCATAAAAGTTCAAAAGAAACTCCAGCCTCAGCATCATCATCATCATCAAAATCAAATCGTCGAGAAAAATCACCAGAATTAACACCAGAAGAACGAGATTTACGAACTGTATTTTGTAAGTAAAAATATTCCTATTAAATTATGATAAGATATGAAAATTGAGTTATTTGGTTTTTACAATGTCGATCAAATACATCTTAAAAAAACTGATTCTCGAATTGTAACTTGAAGTTAATATAAGATTCAATGTAAATACAACTTATTTTGAAACTTTTAGAGTTTTTCGTTTTCTCTGTCTTAATGACTGACTATAATAAAACTGTGTTCTATTTATTACTATTACGTTTCTGAATGGTACACATAGTCGAGATTCAAAATGATTAAGCATTTCAGAGGCTTCCCTTGCTAGTGAGAAACTCTAATGAATTGTTCTTTTTTAAAACTAGGAGCCATTATATACACAAAAAATATTATATCACCAAGGAGCCAGATCGTGTCCTGCGCGTTTGCGGATTGGGAAGGGACAATAATCTTAAAACTGTAACTAAACAATATCATTTTTGACATATTTTTTATTATTAAGGAACGTTACACCTCAATATCTTCAGCTCTACTTAGATAATATCTTTGTTAGAGATATTTTATTATTAGTATTTGTACTAATTATGATATTTATTTTATAGGTATGCAATTAGCAGCAATGATTCGACCACGCGATCTCGAAGAATTTTTTTCACGTGTTGGTAAAGTTCGTGATGTTCGTTTAATAACAGATCCTCGAACACGTCGATCAAAAGGTGTTGCTTATGTTGAATTTCGTGATCTAGCCTGTGTTCAAGCAGCTCTTGCTTTATCTGGTGAAAAAGTTCTTGGAATACCAATTATTGTTAAACCATCGAATGCAGAAAAAAATCGATTAGCAGCACAAGCAGCTGCAGCAGCTGCTGCTCAAAATTCAGTTATGACTAATGGTATAACACCACTTTCAGGATCAGTTATACCAACACATGGACCAATGAAATTATATGTTGGATCATTGCATTTTAATATAACAGAAGATATGTTACGTGGTATATTTGAACCATTCGGACGTATTGATAATATTACATTAATGAAAGATCCTGATACGAATCGATCAAGAGGATATGGTAAGTAAAGAAGGAAGTGGTTGTTTTTTTTTCATGACACAAATATTTTTGTTTTTTAAGGTTTTATTCAGTTTGCACATGCAGAAGATGCTAAACGTGCGATGGAAAATTTAAATGGTTTTGAATTAGCTGGACGACCAATGAAAGTTGGTCACGTTACTGAACGTCCAGGTGAAATGACCGGTTCAACTGGTACTACTTTTCCAACATACACTGCCGGCATACAATCATCATTTGCTTCTGCATCAAATCTTGATTCTGATGATCTTGATCATCGTGGTATTAATTTAGGTGTAACTGGACGTTTAGCTTTAATGGCTAAATTAAGTGAAGGTAGTGGATTACAAATGCCAAAACATGCAAGAGATGCCCTACAAGCTGCGCATATTCAAGCAGCTAGTTCTCAACATGTTCGTATACCTGATGCACCTAATCCACAACAATTAGCAACAGTAACAGCTGTTGGTACACAATGTTTCATGCTTTCAAATATGTTTGATCCAGCTACAGAAGCTAGTCATAATCCTGAATGGGCACAAGAAATTCGTGATGAAGTTATTGAGGAATGTAATAAATTTGGTGGTGTTGTGCATATTTATGTTGATGAAAAAAGTTCGGATGGCAACGTTTATGTTAAATGCTCGACTATTGCTAGTGGTAAGTTGTGAATGATGAAATAGTTTCTTGAAAGAAAGATGATTATAAAATGTAAGACGAAGAACAGAATATAAAAAATGAAAATATATCCCGTAGAATAGACAAATAGAGAACTGCGTCGGAAAATGAGAAATACAAAGCAAATACTTACGTTTTCGATGAGTTGAATCGTTATAATAGTTCGTTGATTATAATATTGCTTTTATTTTACGCTTTTCGAGCAGCTAAAAAGATTTAATAAATATTTCTTGCACTCAAAGATACTCTATGAATAATCAATTTTCAAGTGATATTTGTTAAATCAGAATAATATGAAACGAATATACTTTTTTTTCTAGCAATTAATACCGTCAATTCACTTCATGGTCGATTCTTTTCTGGTCGTACTGTTATGGGAAATTATATACCAGCACAATCTTATCATAAGCTCTTTCCTGAATCAAATACAGCAACAGCACTTCTTACTACTTCATATCAATAGATTTTCTAATCTATACAAAATGACCATTCCAGTCAGAAAGAAAAAAGACTCTACTTAATCTATATATATAATGTGTTTATTATTTCGTTGAAAACCTCAACAATTATGGTTTTTCTTTTTTTTTTCTTCGTGTATGTCTTTGTAAACCAAAATGGTTTCGAATGAGACTAAAAAAAACCTGTGCGTGTCTGTATGAAACAAAAAAAAGATATTTGATTTGAAAAATTTGTTTGTTTTCTTTTGTTGTTCTATTGAAGATAGTTTGTGTTAAAACAGCGACGACCTTATCATCAACAAATAAACTATTACAAATCACATAATGTTTTCATAAAAAAAATACAAGAAAGATTTTCTTTTTTTATGATTTAGATAAATTATTTGAGATAATCTGACAACATTAACAAAAAGCGACTATTAATAACAATAAAAATTCAATAGGATAAGTCTATAATAATAAATAAAGTGATATTAGTTCGACAATATTTGTTATGCTTTGCTTTTATCTCGTAAAATCGTTGTCTACTGGGAAAAAAAGTATATTGTGATTTGCTGTCTCTCATATGGTAGTGTTCTCTTTCCTTTCGCTTATTTTATATATGGTTGTTATTTAAGGACAACAGTATACCGCATGTATTTTCGATCACGCCATCCTGATCCGTTGAAATTGACTTATCGATAGACGTATTTATATATATGATTTACTCTTTTCTATATCTTCTATTTAGATTTATACATATAAAAATATCGAATGACAACAATGCTTGTCGATAGTATTTCTTCGTATTCATTACGTTCTATTAAATTATTTACGTTTGGTTGTACATTAGCCGTTGTACTTATGACATTTCAATATGAGCACAAATTACGACTATTTAATTCTCCGCGTCTTATGCTAACTTTACCTGCATTAAGTCTTATATCTATATGTGGTTTCGGTGCCGGTAATTAAAAAGAAAAAGTTTTTTTTCTATTTTTCTATTTTTTATTTTTATAAAAGCTTTGGTTGGTCTTGTCTATCCAATGTTTATTACTACGATTGATCAAACATCTTTTCCTGAATATAATGATAATATAATACGCAAATCTCAAGTTTGTAAATCCATAGTAATATTTGTCGGAATAAATCATCTATCTGCTGTAAGTTAAATATTTAAATAGAAATTATTATTATCATTTTCGTTTTTTATTTTCAAAGAAAATTCCATTTCAAAGTGATCTTCATTTTACATTAACATTAGCGTTTTTATGTATCGCATTCTGGTGGTGGTTCGATCGAACTATAATTACTTTTATATTTTCAATTTTTGTATCATTTATATTAACAATGATTACAGAAATTTTATTACGTTCTGGTGCACTTCAGTAATTTGATTTCTTGTATTGTTTTATCAAGTTGATTAAAGAAGTTTTATTTAGATATACATATTCAGATTTCTATTTGAAAACTTGTGTGCCTTGTTTAACATTTGCCGGTGCCATTTTAACAATTCAAATAACAAAATTATTATCTCAAGTATGAGAAAAAACGTTTTTTATTTTATTTTAATAAGTATTTATTTATTTATTTTCAATAGCCTGATCAACCATTATCAACAATGGATAATTCACATGAACAAGAACATGTAAAAAATGAATGAGATAATCTATATTTTAACAGATAAAATTTATTTGCATATATTATATATATACATATTAGTTTTGTTTAACTTTGTTAGTTCTTATACTTGTTATTTTATTGTCTAACATTGAACGACAATATTTTTTATGATATTTATCTTAACTTTCCTCCATTTATTTGTGCAATTTATAGATAAACTATAAATACTGAAAAAGAAAATAGAACTGATTTTGTCTCTTTCAATACATATTTATATACATATAAAAACAATTGATGAATATTCTCAAATATGATGAAAAAATATTTTCCTCTATAGCTAGATTATTCTAGCTAATCTAAGGAAGAATGCAAGTTTTTTTTAAATCTTGATATATGCTCTACTGATAAATGTATTATATATTTAATTTGATTGGAAGAATGATATTATAATTTGTAATGAGTTTAGACGACCATGCTTTTGCTTCTTTTCGCAGTACAATATGTGTCAAGTTAGCAACATATATTATTTCTAGTAGAATTCAGTTAAAGAATATGAATATTATGGTATCAAAGTCTACAACCATTTCACCAAAAACGGTGACAAACTATCTCAAGGATTCGAACTTAGAGTTTTTTAATCAATGTCTGCAAGTAATCGCTATTTCTAAAGAAGAGTAGCGTAACTTTTATTTTCATAAATAATGTCGATGTATTGTCGAGATAGTGGCATTGAATCCGCTAAAGTTTTGATTATATCAAGGTTGATGTTAACGTGAGCGTAATCACATTGATATAATGTTCATTAAGCATTCTCATGAATTTTTGATAAATGATTTATTTATAGTACATATATTCTTAGGTATGCTTGCTGACAATCATGAATGTTCAATCAAATTTGATAGTGTATTTATAAAATTATGACTTCCGATTGTTTTTTTTCAAGAACATAGTCATCAGCGTATATCTAAATAAAATAAATTAACAGAAAACTAAGTACTCGAGGCATAGTTGACATGTAACTTCAACTCATTTCTATCGAATTCAAACTTTGGAAAATGAAATATTGATATAAATGATTTATATCGCTTACTAAATAGCACTTAATCGAATGAACCATTCATTGATTATCACACATCACTTGATTTTATCTATACTACTCAGATAAAGAACATGATTGCTCAATATAATAAATATGCACAAGTTATTGATTATCCATTTAAATTGTCTGCTGGATTTGAAATCATTATTACACGCTTCATTATTTTCAATAGAAAATCTTATTCTCGAGTCTTTCAAAATTATCAATTGTCTAGTAATATTATATCTTTTTCTTTGTATTAAATGATTTTAATATCTAACAGATTTATTCTTGTTTTTCTCTGCTTACAATTCGTTGATATGATTATAGCCGCTCAAAAAAAAAAACTAATAAATTAAATTCTTAGCTTCATCGTTCGACCGATATAACCAAGGCCTTTTTTTCGCTTATATATATATCGTAACAAAAAGTTAGCCATACGATTATCTCAATGTAATGAATGCTCTCTTTTGTATGATTATTATATGAATAGCAAAAGAGAAGGAGAGACAGAGAGGGAGAGGGAGAGAACAGAGAACAGAGACGAGGAAAAAAATCTCAAGTAACTCCCTACTATCATATAACGTTCAACGGCAACAGCAGGAAGCAACACATACTATACAAGCTCATCTCATTCTTTAACCAGTTGTTGTCTCAATTGTGTTTTATCGTTCCGACATTCAAGTACTCTCTTTATTTCAAGGAACGGTACTCATTCTCATCTAGTTTTTCTTATCAAACTTTTAATAATAAAAGCAAAAATATACAATGTTATGGGCATTTTTTATTAGCTTTTTATGCATTCTTAAAACATCGTCGTCTTCTGTTGATATTAATGGTAAGAAAATTATCAATAAGATAGCAGTCTAAGTGTTCATGCATGAAATTCAAAATAAATGTGTACTTGTCTTGAAAAGGATCATACTCTACATATATACATCAGATCAAAATGATAATCTAGGATATAAATAATTCTTGTTCAAGTATAAATACAAAATGTATAGTGATGATATATATATATATAATTGTTTGACCATACGCACATTATAACTAAGTTTAAAGTCAGCTGTAATATATACATAAATTATATTTTCATCTGTGTATATATGTATATAATGGGAAATCTGGCATTATTCAGCTGTAAAACTTTATAACATTTATAAGTATCATTACCTATTTATCATTCCATTTGTTTTGAGTCATCTACTTGAATAGTTGACAAGAACTCTTGACTATACTTACATCATATATATATGTATGTATATATATATATATACATACACAGCATCTCTCAAAGTGATGCTCATAGTGTTGAGTTATTCTATCTGCTCATATACAATCTGTTTACCTTGGAGAAGAAAGAGTGATGAAAGATTATGTCATATCATCATCATCATCATCATTATGATCACACAGGATGTTAGCCGAATATTGACTTGTAGAAGTATCACGGATCATCTGTCCGTAATTACCATGGACAATGGTCAGAATAATAGAGAGAATGATCTTCGTATTATATCTGTTCATCGTTATGCAAATTTAAATTGCTCTTACTAACAATTTGCATTCCAACACATTTATAAGTTCATTTGGGGATGTCTGTTATGACTTGTGAAAGAAAAACTAATTCAATAGAGAATAAAACATATCATTTGTTTATTTTTTTCTATGCATGTTTGATGAATTGTATATAATATATAAAATAGATCAAGGTTAAATTTTTCTTTCAATATTAAATATCATCATCTTCTTTCTTTTTTTTACTCTAGGCGAAAATCGAACAATAATTAAGCCATTAAATTCTAATGTAACAGTAACAAGTGGACAAAAAGCAATATTAACATGTACATTTGATCGAATAAATCATGATTTAGTTCTTTTATCATCACATCAATTAATATGGATACGTCAAAATCATGCAACATATGATGCTGATTTAATATTAGCACATAATCAAGATTCTTTAATATCGGATGATCGTTTAACTATTCAACGTACTGATATTGATTATTCATTAATAATAAATAATGTAAATATCGATGATGAAGGAATCTATGTATGTGAAGTAAATACACAACCACCACAAAAAACGTCTATTCATCTATATGTTCAAGGTAAGATTATTTTGTATATGGTATAATGTCTTGAATATCAATTTAGTTAGTTATTATGTCTTGAATTGAATTGATTAGCAAAGAAATAGTTTGATTTAGCCAATTGTTTATATTAGAAAGGGAATGAGGACGCCAGACGAATTGAAGATGAAATAAGAAGAGCAACGATTCTTTCATTTAGCATTATATATTAGCGAGTGTTAAAAGAAGAAAAAAAATCGGTAAATGATGATTATGATCGGAAGTTCTGGCAAATAGATAAATAGAAGTAAAGTAAAGCGCGAGATGTTTATTTAAATGAGTGATGATATTCTATTGTCTATACATATATATATAGAATTGCTTTTCAACATGCGTTACATATCAATAAATTCTTTTGTTAGCTGTCAGTTATGCCTAGAAGATCTTGGATTTTTTGACACGTAAATAATATATATGCACGTTAGTGATAATGTGATTTGATGGATGTGCAAATTCATAAAAAAAAAGAAAGAAAATCGCCGTAATATCAGAATAATGATTTGTGTTTAGTAAAGAAAGGTTCTTTTTTCTATATATTAACATTATATCATACGAATATTTAAAAACAACAGACATGTATAACGCATCATTTCCCTCGATCTTGGAATTTATAGTAGTCATCTTCATCCTTGAAATGATTGTTCTTTTTATAAAAAAAATCAGTTAAATCATGTAGAAACTGCTGTTTTATGTCGATTCCAATTAGCTCATAGAACAGTCTGTTTCATGTTCGACTAGATCACGCAAAGTGATCTGTATTAATCAAGATAAAACTATAACGTGAGATATAACTATTAACAGAAGATGAATTTAATGATAATGATATTTTATATGAACTTTCTCGTTTGAAGAGATAATTATCCATTTGACAACGCAGTCATACTAAATTTTGATTCCAATATTTGACAAAAAACCTTTGTTGATTATTAATAACTTATGAAATTCGTTGGTATATAATTTCTTGTAGTTAAGTTTCGAAGTGACTTGTTGAATAACGCGTAAATATTTGATGACTCATTGTTGAATGGATTAATAAAATGTACTTTGATTACATCATATACAAAGGGTTTAAATGTTACACGCTTGATTGATTCAAAGGCTGAACGATTGTGTTTATTCATATCATGTATTCAAAATAAGATAATAATGCACAGTAGAAGTTCAGATGAATCTTTATCGATTTCAAGTCGAGGTGATGATCGTTTCTTTCTTATTGCCACTATATTTCTACCTATTTTCGCTCAATTAGCATATATATTTGATGTATATTATTATCATTATAATGGAATAACAAGTAATGGATATGAAGGTTTACTTTCATCAATTTTAAGTGTTTTTGCTTATCTTCAATATTGTGTACCAATTCATTCACGTTTATTTCGTTTTTTCTATCATTTATTTCTATGGATATTGTCTCAAATTGGTACATTAGGTCATTTAATATCATACGCAAAAAGAGATGATAAATTTCATGTTATTTTATATTCTATATGGGCAGTAGTAGATTCATTTTATTTTGGATGTTTAATTTATTGTCGAGTATTTCCACATATTCGTAATCTACGTATTCATATGGCTATTGAACAACGACATTTATTTCATTTTATATCACGTTTAGAAGTTATTCTTGCTATATTTATTCCCGTCTTTTTTGATACACGTCTTATAACATTAACAAAAGATAATATAGCATTCTATATTTTATTTGATTTTTTTGCTGAATATTATCATCGTTTTCATGGTGTAACAATTAAAGCAACTTTATATATATTTGTTATTACAGTAACAGCATCTGTTGCAACTGAATGGATTCATATTGCAAAACATGAAATGAAATATGAAATAGCTTCATTAGCATGTGAACTTCTTGCTGCATGTCTTTGTTATTCATTAATTGTTATGCAATTTTTTCCAAACAATTTTATTTCACGAAGACAATGGGGAAAATATAAACGTAGACAAACAGTATCATCAATAAGTTCTCAACATAATCGTCATAGTATTGATACGAGTGCAGAAAACAATGTATGCTACTTTTAATTTAATAAACGTAAAGATATTTGTTTAATAAGTAAATGAACGAAATACGATCTTAAAATCTCAGAAATTGTAAAATAGAAGATGATTCTATCGTGAATCAACTAGACTGAAGATGCATTAAAGAATAGAAGTCATTTCATATGTTATAAAATAAAATCTATTTAAGGTATTCATTCATTAAATTTCATTTGTTTAAACATATGAATATTATATAAGCATTGAGAATGTTCTTAATTGTAGACTTTAAATCTAAGTCATTTCGATGAGATTGCATAAGTACTTCACAATACTCAACAGATTTGTTTTCATCCTAAGTATTATGTACTTAAATTAAATGATACAATATTTGATATGCAATTAAGATTTTTCAAGTAATACATTAACAAGGCATAGTACGAGCTACTTTATTTTCTCGGAAAAAGTCTGACTAATTATTAATGTTTTTGACAAAAACGATAGTCAAATAAATACTTATAGAACACATTTTATTTGTATTTTTTTTCATAATTCCAAAGTCATGTATATGAGTTTAATAGAACTGATTATTCATTAAGAAAAACCAGGTTTTGTTGAGTTCTGTATATGATTTAAAAATAGTTAATTTTACAATTTTATTAACGCATAAATTATACTTGAAATGTAAACTAGCAGAAAGTCTTTTTTTTTCAATTGAATCTATCCATTACAGACGATCGACATTCGCCTGTGATTTAAAAAAATCATGAACAATTTCAGTGCAATTAAAAAAGAATGATTTTCAGCTTGAAAAATCGTATTTATCTACAATTATCATGAATATCAATATAACGATTTATTTGTAATTACTAATCATATTCAATCATTGAAAACATTTTAATGATTAAGTTTTATCTGAAATGAAAAAATACATTAGAATTTTTTATAATAATATGTTTACATATCAATATAAAATTATTTTTTTGTATAGAAATGCCAATAATTATTGATAATGGCACAGTATCACCAGTTATTATAAATGAACATGATAATGTAACAATGGAATGTCAAGCTCGAGGTCGACCTCGACCCTATATAACATGGTTTAGACGAAATAATGATCAAAACAATCGAACACAATTAGAAAATCAAGTTTTAGCTAATAGTACAGATGGTCAATATCATTTAATAAATGTTAATCGTTATCAAACTGGTCATTATGAATGTCGAGCATCAAATGGTGTTAATGAACATGTTGTTAGCAAAGATATTGAATTACGTGTTCTTTGTAAGTAAAAATCGTCTTATATACTTTTAAAAAAGATAATTTAGTAGTAGAAATTTTTTGATAGATTTATATTTCGTATTGATAAAATAATTTATTAGAAATGAACACAAAGATTTATCTTTTTAATGATGACATTAAAATTTTTGTCTTAAACTTCTTGCCCTTCAACTGGCATATATAACCTCATGTTTTATAGAATGATCCCTTGTACGATGAATATCATGTTAAGATTTATTATTATGATGCATACAAAATTGATTCAATCCTTTTTGTTCCCTAACGTGAATTTACATCATTTACAGATGTATAATATATAAGAGAGAAATGATGAACATTTGTTCTTGAGAGAAAAGAACGATGCCGACCATCGATCAGCAATATGCAAGATTGCATTTGACCTCAATCGTTCTCATTATCACAATATTATAGCTAACAATAAGAACAATAGTATGGAAAGCAGAAGGAGAGCTTGACCTATGTCTATCTACTGTATTCAATAACGAAAGAGCATAACCGGAAATGGACGGCGCGCCGTCGTTCAAGCTGACCGATATGAACAACAAAAAATAATGAATCTCTAGTAAAGTCTCTCTATTACGTATAATATCACACTTGATTTCATTTATCAAATAGAATAAATAAACTGATTTTCTTAACAAAGCAAAAAAAAATAGTTTGTTAATGAATAAAA